AAAAAAAAAAAAAAAAAAAACCCAAAATAAAAAACTAAGCTTTTTCTCAAGATAACAGCACAGATCCTTAGATACATTAGCTAATAAAAAGAGTGAAGACTCAAATAAATGAAGTCATAAATGAAACAATCGCTGTTATAGGAGTAAAAAGGATCATAAGGGATTATAATGAACAAACAAAAAAATTGAAAATCTAGAAAAAATAGATAAAAGCCTAGGAACATACAACGTACAAAGAGTGAATCAGGAAGAAGTATAAAATTTGAGTAGAGCAATAATAAATAAGGAGACTGAAGGAGTAATAAAAACCTCCCACTAAAGAAAAGCCCGGGGCAGATAGCTTCATGGATTGATTATTCCAAACATCCAATTAATATAAAGAATTAATATCAATTCTTCTTAAACTCTTCTAAAATATAGAAAAAGAAAAACTTTAAAACTCTTCTAAAGGCCAACACATCTGTTACCAAAGCCAGACAAAGATACTACAAAGAAAGAAAAATAAAGGCCAATGTTCTTGGTGAACATAGATACAAAAATCTAACAAAATATTACCAAATCAAGTTCAACAGCTCTAAAAGAATCATATACCATGACCAGGTAGGGTTTTGTTTTATACTGTGAGGACAGTTTTCAATGTATATAGACCAATCCATGTGATACACCACATTAAAAGGATAAAGATTTTTTAAAAATCACATGATCATCTCAATGGAAGCAGAAAAAAAGAAAAAAAACCCCTTTTGACAAAATTTAATACTGTTTCATGATAAAATATCAACAAAGTAGGTATAGAAAGAACTTACCACAGCACAATAAAAATAATTTATGAAATTCAAAGGACTAACATCATATTTGACAGTAAAAAACTGAAAGTTTTCTAAGATGTAGAATAAGGTAAAGATGTTCACTTTTGCATCTCTTGTCCAACATAGTACTAGAAATACTAGCTAGAGCAATTAGAAAACAATTAGGCAGCATCTAAATTGGAAGCAAGAGATAAAAGTATGTTTTCCAATGACATGATCTCAAGTATGAAAATCCTTAAGATTCCACCAAAAAAATCCTGTTAGAATTACTAAGTCATTTTCATAGTTTTAGGATACAAACATCAACATAAAAAATTAGTTGCATTTCTATATGCCAGTAATGACCTACATGAAAAGAAAATTAATTTAAAAAGGCATCAAAAAGAATAAAAATCTAGTAATAAACTTAACCAAGGAAGTGAAAGACTTATGCATTAAAACTGTAAAACTTTAATGAAAGAATCCAAAGTAGACGCAAAGAAAGGGAAGGACATCTTGTGTTCATGGATTGGAAAAATTAATATTGTTAAATATCTGTACTGTTCCATAAATGATGTTGGGAAGAGTGGATATCCACATGCAAAAGAATAATATTGGACCATAATCTTAAACCATACAAAAAAATAACTTCCAAATGGATTAAAGACTTAAGTGTAAAATCTGAAACAGTAGAACCCTTAGAAGAAAACATGGGAGAAAGGCAGTGGACATTGGATTTGGCAGTGATTCTTGATGTGACATCACAGGCATAGACAACAAAAGCAAAAGTATACAAGTGGGATTATATCATACTGAAAAATTTCATTTGACACAGTAAAGAAAACAACTAAATAAAAGAGAAGCTAGCAGATGGAAGAAAATGCATGTAAACCATATACCTAGCAAGAGATTCATATTTAAAAATCAAGAATTCCTGCAGCTCAATAGTAAAAGCAACAAGAACAACAAAACCCAAAAAAACAACCTGATTAAAAAATTGGCAAAGGACACGAATAGACATTTCACTAAAGAAGACACATAAATAGCCAACAAGTGTATGAAAAGGTGTCGAACATCACCAGTCATCAGAGACACGACAAGCAAAACCACCGTGAGATGTCACCTCACACTTGTTTAAATGGCTGTTACCTAAATCCAGGAAAACAGTTGTCAGTTGAAATTGCTGTTGGTGGTAATTTACATGGATGAGGCCACTATGGAAAACAGTATGGAAGTTTCTTTAAAAAATTAAAAATATAACTACTGTTTGATCCAGCAGTCCCACTTCTGGATACATAGCTAAAGGAACTGAAGCCAGGACATTGAAGAGATCTGTGCTCTGCCACGTGTAGAGCCATGTTATTCATGCTGCTTGAAGTGTGGAAGCAACTCAGGTGTCCAAATGGACACCTAGATAAGCACAGTGTGGCACATGCATATGGTGAGATGTGATTCAGCCTTGCGAGAGAAGGAAGTCCTGCCATTGTGACTGTGTGGATGGACCTAGAGGACATTACAGTAGGTGAAACCGGCCAGGCACACAGGACCAGTGCTGCATGATGTTAACTTTATGAGGAGTTAAAAATAATCAAATGCATAGAACTAGAGAGCAGAATCACAGTTACCATGGATTTTGAGGAGGGAGAAAAGAGAAGTTATCAGGCCAAGGTTGTAAAGTTTCAGTTATGCAGGTTGTACAAGCACTGGAGTTCTGTCGTACGACATAGAGCCCACAGCTGACAATGCTGTATTATATGATTAAAATGTTGCCAGGAAGGCAGATCTTATGTTAAGTGCTCTTAACACAAACGCAGGAATAATGTTAAAAAAAGGGGCTGGCCAGAGGGAATGTTTGTGGCCCCACTGGGGTGATGCTCTTGTGAGTGCACACTTCTCTCCAACTCACCAAGTACTAGAAGCTGAATATGTCTAGCTTTTTGTATGCCAGTCTACCCCAGTAAATCAGTTTGCTTTGCTGGAGGTTGAGTTCTTTGGCACCCACGAAAGAGTAGTGCATTATTCATGTCTGGTAAAGATGCCAGCACTTATGTTCTATTTTTAGTTTGCTCTTAGGGCTGTGTTCCTGTTTCACACGAACACAAGACAGGTGTGCATATGTCCTCCCAGTGCATTGCACTGAGCTCCAGAAAACACCATTTGTTGGTTCACTGGGCTGAGCCGCTCTCCCCTACTAACTTCCATCCTTTGTATTAACTGCAAGAAAGGATGAATATCCCACCCCTTTTTAGGTGCTGGGCAAACAGAAATAAGGAAAGGATATAATGTTCTTAGTATGTGTTTCGTTTTTCTTCTTCAGAAAGTATTTTGGAGAAAAAATTGGACTGTATTTTGCCTGGCTGGGGTTATATACATCATTCCTCATCCCATCTTCGGTAATTGGGGTCATCGTGTTTCTGTACGGATGTGCAACAATCGAGGAAGATATTCCCAGGTAAGTCCCTTTTAAAGGAAAAGCCCAGTTCCTGTTGTTGGATGACATGTGACTTCCCACCGAGCTAGATCCGGGAACTCTAGATTCTGGGAAGGGCTCTAGTTGTGCTGGGTGTGGTTCACTTCGTTTCCTAGTTGGGCTTTTCCCTGGGGCCAGAGTCTGATGTGGGCAAGTGATAAAACCTGATAGATACAGAATCATGCCAAAGAAATGACTTTTCTCCTTACTTTGTGACTGTTTTCTCTGTTTTAATTTTTTTAATTTTGTAAAAACCAAGGCAGGGTGTGCAGAATGGCTGTGTGTAGAAATCACATGTCTGTGTGATCATACTCTGCTGCAGTGAGGTGCTGGGAGGGACAGGTGGCTCTGAGTCCAAGAAGGGCTCAGTCTGTGGCTTGAGAAGTCAGAAGCTGTAAAAAGTGGTAGGTCCCACGGTGGGGCTCTTGGCAATCTGGGAGACAGAATGAAGGCCAGCCCTTACCGGAGAGAGGGCTTCTAAAGAAAATAAGCCCTTAAAATAGCATCCTTTTGTACAGATGGTGTTACACATTAGTTCGCAACTGGACAGTTCACTCCCTGAGTCTGAGTTTCCTGGCTACAACGTGGGAATAATAATGCCTACCTCATGGTGTCCCAGGGATTAAAGGAGGCAGTGTCTGCCACACAGCAGAGGATTAATAAATAATTGCTGTGTGAATCAAAATATATGGGAAGACTACAAGGGGCAAAAAGATGCGTAGTAATATTTAGAATTGAAACCCTTTGCTGTCTTCATAACAGTCCTCACCAACTGGTGGGTGGTTAGCATATTTTAATACTCTTTTGGTTGTAGGGGATAGAAATGCAACTTTTAACTGGATGGAGCAAAGAAGAATTTGTTTGAAGGGTTTCCCAGGGTGCCCCGGAGCAGACACATGGCTGGCCTAAGGGGGGTCTCTTTACTTCTGGTCTCTGGTCCTTTCTAGCGTTTATTGGTTTCACTACAGATCTTCGCCATTTGTATGCAAACATTGTGGCTGGTAGCTTATGCATGGGGTGTCCTAGAGTTTTCAGCTCAAGTGGACTCAAGGAGAAATGCCCCATGAGCTCAGTTTGACTTAGATGGATGTCCTAGACCAGTGAGCATGGCAGAGGGACACAGTCAGTCTGTCATAGCACGATATGCCTTCAGTGACCAGGTGGATGAGGATATTGGAAGGGGAAGGGGGAGTACACTCTGGATGGAGGAGGGTAGTGGGGGGACTGGGGGTGCCTGCTGTGGGTGGTGGAGGGTGGTGGTGATGCAGTGGACGTCCTGCAGAAGAGGTCAAGAGCTGAACTTGTTGAGGAGGAGGTGCCCACCGGAGGGCAAGCGCCAGGTGGCTCTTCCTGCCAAGTTCACTCTGCATAAATGTTCTTGCAAAACCTGTGGGCCGGAGATGACTCTGTTAGCATGTACAATAAAGCTCAGTACCTTGGTGCACAAGACAGGGCTTGGCTGTTTCATTTATCCCATTACTTCAGTGTATCTGTCATGTGATCTGGCTTGGGAATCCTGGACCTTTGCACAGGGGATTGGTGACTAGGGTTCTGCCCTTCCAGCCCACCTAGCATGAGGGAAGAAGTAATACTTATTAATGTCTATCTTGTGCTAGGCATGATGCTGGGGGGCTTGTGTGTGTGGGTTTCTTTGAGCTTGCTGGAGACCAACATCGTAGACTTAGTAGGAGAAATATTATTTCCATGCAGAGATGGATTCATGGCCATGTCCAGTGGCTTTTACTTGTCAGAGCTGAGAGTGAAAGAGCTCTGCTGCCTGTATTCTGAAGCCTTTGCTTTTCCAGACAGGAGTGAGGTCTTCAGAGTACAAATCCCTGCTGTCCGTCCAGTGCCCTGGGCTTGCCTGGCTGCGGTCTCAGAAAACATGGCTCCCGTGCTTTCCTTCCTTAGCTGTGTTCCCTAGAAATCTGGCCTCTGGTTAATCTAAATAAGAAAACTCAGCTCCATAGTGGTGCACATCATTATCCCAGGACCCTAGGAGGCTGGGGCAGGAGGATTAAAGTTTGGACTAACCGGACAATTTAGGGAAACCTTGTCTCAATTTAGGGGCTGGGGATGCAGCTCTGTGTGAAGGCCCAGGGTTCATTCCCAGAGCCCTGTGGGCTGGAGGTGCTGGGTGCCAGTTCACATTAGGATTTAGGGCGGCACCCTGCTGCCCATGTGGGGTACATGTGGTGACAACCCCTGTGGCTGGAAACGGCCACGGCTCGCACATGCTACCCAGTTGTCCATTTGCATGGAGGCACGCACACCAGGCAGCCACACACTCGGCTGTGGGGAGGCTGCACAGGTCTGAGGCAGTCGCCACCACTGCAGACACGCCGCGTTGTCATACAAGGGCGTTCTCTGCACCTGTGGATAGAAATCCACTGGTGTGTGGGGATCGATTTAGCAAGGATTTCTTTAATGAACTAGAGTATGATAGGATAGGATGAAGTAAAATATCAGAATTCATTAAAAGGAGAAAGGAGAAATGCTTAATGGGGTGCATTTCAGTTTCTAGCATGTTTGCGAGGTGAAGTGAGGTTCTGTGTGTGCTTACAAGCTGAAATCTGACATAAAAACTTTGAATTGTCAGGCTCGGTAGCACAAGTTTGAAACTGATTGATGTAAATTTGAAATTTTGGCTGTTGGTTTTCAGACTTATTTAGTCTGGTGAATCAGGAAGTAAATAATACAAAAAAAAAACCCAAAATGTCTTATGTAGATAATTTTAAAAAACGAAGAACTACGGTTTAACATATCCCGCAAAAGTCCAAGTTCTGTGGGCCCCATGGAAACATACAAAATATCACTTCCCATCAACAAAGGACTGTTCTCTAAATCCTAATATTGAATCCAACGAGACTCATACTCTGTGCCTGTCCAGCACTCCTACATGTGATTAAAAAACTTTGCATTATTTTGGGGATTATTTTAGAGGTTGCTAATTTTGTCACCAACCCTAGAATTTACTATCTATGGATCACTTTTAAAAACTTTTTCATTTTGAAAAAAATAACAGATTCACAGGGAGTTGCCAAGTACAGAGGGGCTCATCCAGTGTTTCTGTCTTATGTAACCATAGTTCACTTTCAAAACCAGAAAATTTACATTGTGAAACATTGCATGGTACCATTTCTTCCCTAGTAGCTTTGACATGAGAGATACATGCACAAGCTTGTAGGTAATAACTCCTTGTGTGCAGGATATACCTTTACTTATCAGGGGCGGGTTTCATATGTTACGAACTTCCTTACACTGACAGGGAGCACTGCAGCATTTTTAAAAAACATTAATTAATCTAAACCACATCAAGAAAAAAAGTTGGTCATTATAGGCTTGGGAATTTAAAGCCAGATAATTCATCTGAATTTCCTGAATAACTGCCCCGTTTGTACTGCCCCAGCTCTGCCTCATCTAACTTGTGAACCCTGATTTACTCTGAGGGACCCCGCTTGTTGCTGGACAGACATGGTGGTGCAGCACTATGGGAGGCTGAGGCAGGAGGATCACAAGATTGAGCCTCGCCTGGACAATTTAGAGACTTAGAAAGACCCTGTCTCAAGATAAACAATAGAAAGAACTAGAGATGTAGCTCAGTGCAAAGGCCCTGGGTTCAATCCCCACTACTGCTATAAAATAACCCACTTGCTTTTGGGTCTTGGTTCAGCCGATTGTCAAATTATTTATCGATCAACCTTCGTATGCTTTCTAGAGAGGATGATCGAAGAAAAACTCACCATTCAATTTATGGCCACAGTTATTTGTCACTGGATATTTTAATGTAGCCAGTGAGCAACTGAGACATGATTTCAACCCTAGATCAGCTTCCCCTATTTTTCAGCTTGCCTAGAGGTAGCCTCTCCTAGAACGAAAGAATCATTTTATGTCGTTCTGAGATGGAATTTCTCCAGGATGCTGTTAAAATTGCTTACATCAAAACCCCCTCAATACATTGCAAGTGTCTGACTTCAAATTAAAAAGAGTCGAGGACAATCCACACTCATGGCTGCCGTTTCACGAAATGATTAATGGACGCCACCCACATTCTAATGTACAAACACAGGTAACTTAGCAAGCTCGAATGACTGGAAGTGCTTTGTACCAGCTTGTTTGCTGACACTTTTTCATGCCTGACTTTTTGCACTGACCAAACATTAATTAGGGTTAGGTTGAGTTGGATTTTCTCTCTCCCAGTCTATGCCTTAAAATAAAAACCTAAAACCAAAAATAACCCGAACCACTGGAGTCTCTCACACAGCTATGTGAAGGGCAACACTGAAATCTGCCTTTTCTGGAGGACATTCCTCTGTAGTGAATCTTTCTTACCCACAGTGTGGACGTGACTTAAACTAACCCTTGCTCTCCAGTCGGCAGCAAGGATGTGCCCAGGTGAAAGTGCACATCTGAGTCTGTCACTGAGATATCCCCAGTTAATATTCTCCCTGGGAATGAGTCACTTTTACTGATATTTGCCAGTGGAGAGCTTAGCAGCCTGTCAGTGGAGGGACTGAGGGTCCCTCCTGCAAGACCTAGAGTTTCCATTCTCTCACACACAAGGCCTCTTGCTGCGGGGGACTTAATAGCTCATTAAAAACAGAAGTCTAGAAGCTGGGGCTTGACAGAAAGTGACAACCCTCTGTAAATCTCCCACTCTTTTCGCCGCAATGAAGGGAAAACGATGCAGGCACCCAGGCTTCGCGGGTCTCCAGGCTCTGGGTAAGGCCTCCTTCCCTGGCATGGCCTCCCACTCTGAGGCGCCCTCTGCTGCCTGGTTTTGACGAAACAGCTGTGGCTCTGGGCACAGGAGCCCCTGCTGCCCTCATCCTTGCACCCTCATCCTTGAAGCTCTTCGTGCTCTGAAAGAGCAGCCAGTGCCTCCTTTGTATTAATCTGGAGCTCCCCAGTTCGCCTAACAAAGCATCCTCCTACTTCCGTGGGGAATGGTTGCACACCAGAGCGAGGAGTTCTTCGTTTCCTCCTGGAAGTATGTGATGTGGACAGGAATTGGGGAAGCCAAGCAGGGCTGGTAATTCTTTAAGTTTTATATGTAAATTTTATTGGAGCCAAAATTTATTTGATCTAGAAAATCGCCTAATGAATGAATGAATGGAATTTCAGATATACCCACCGGTCAACTGAATAGAAATGTACTTGGAATAGGCTAGAATATAGACCATTGGAATTATTTGGCTTATGTTCTCTGTTCAAACGTCAGAAAATCTAGACCTTGGAAGAGCTTACTGTATTCTTCCATTTTCTCTGTCCTATTTAATGGTCACGATAATTCTTATTAGATTGAGGTTATTAATGTCCATTCAACACGTGGCCATATGATCCATGTTCTTAGAAAAGGGCTTCTGACCCAGCCCTGCTGCATTTATCCTCAAATGGCTTCTCCTTCCGGTGTGGTGATCTGGCCATATACTCCGCTTGTTTCTGCTTGTGACCAGTGTCACCCATTTGTGAGCCAGCCAGTAGGAAGACAGCTTGCACTTGAAGAATGGATGATGAAACCCCACACTGGTGATTTATTTGCAATTGTTCATGCATCCCGCCAGTCTCATAGATGACATTTTGAAGGGACTTTCAAGGTACCTGTTGTGCACAATGACTCTGACAGTAGTCACTGATTTCTGGGACACTTCTAGTGATAGTAGCTCTGTACTTCAGACCACATGGTCCATCCATCTTTAACTGTCTCAGGGCGAAGAGTCCACACCCAGCCTGTCTGGTAATCCTCCCTATGGAGTTGATAAACTCGGCCATATAATTGGAAATGGGTGCTGTCTGGAGGGGCCTGGTTTGCACTCCTCTTAACCTGGCTGCCTCTGTGTACTTCAGCAAAGAGATGTGTGACCAGCAGAATGCCTTCACCATGTGTCCCCTGTGTGACAAGTCCTGTGACTACTGGAACCTCAGCTCAGCCTGTGGGACTGCACGGGCCAGCCACCTGTTTGACAATCCCGCCACTGTTTTCTTCTCCATCTTCATGGCTCTGTGGGGTAAGTGGTTGTCATGGCCCTTGATTGTATGGGGGCTCTGTGAAGTGGGCATGGGGCCAAGCTCTAAAGCTCACAGCCTTCCTTTGACTTACTTCATTATGTTTCCTCTGTGTCCCAAGAAGTATGTTTAGGACAATGCCTTGCTCTTCTTACTCATCTGTATGACTAGAAATAGGAGTATTCCTCATGGCTTTATCTATTGCCTCCTACATGTAGTACTGTTAACCCCATACTGACCCCATGTGTGATTATTCAGAATTTGAACCAGTGCATGTTTTGAAAATGCCTAGCACACTCGTAAGGCACCCTGTCCACATTTCCTTAGTCATGTAAAATCATGGATACCATGCACTGTAGGATCCAGAGTGGTAGCATGGCTACCATGGTCAGACAGTGAGCTGGTAGTAACATGGGCTGGAACGTGGCTTGCTGATCGTGCTGTTTTCAGGACACTGAGTGTAGAGGGCAGAGCAGGGCTCCCCGAGCCTCGGCCACAGACCTGTACCAGTCCAGGGAACCTGGCTGCACAGCAGCAGGAGAGCAGGTGAAGCTCAGTCTGTACAACAGCCCTGTCCCCATTGCTCACATTACCTGAGCTCTGCTTCCTGTCAGACCACAGGAGCACTGGCCCTACCTGAACAGCACACTGGAGGGGTCCTATGAGAATCTAATCCTGAAACCACCCTGCTCTTGACCCCCAGTCCACAGAAAAATTGTCTTCCATGAAAGCCACCCTTGGTGCCAAAAAGGCTGGGACAGCTGCTGTAGAGATGTCAGGCCAGAGCAGTGCTTTCGGCATTCTCACCAAAGGGATAGATGAAGGAAAGAACAAATGGTTCCTTCATTCTCTTCTTCCTCCTTCCCACCCCCTCGACCCCCCAGAGTAGTGGAGGGACAGAATTGCTCTGAGCCATAGTTAACCAACCATAAACACACTCCCCCACCCCTAGAAAACTAGAATAACCTGAGACAGCCACTCCAGGTAGCCAACATTTGTAAAGCATCCCAGATGTGTGTACGTAAAGAGACTGAGTCACCACATCAGTGCCCACTTGTGTAGCTGCCTGCCTTTCCCCATTGCTGGGTGTGCACTGTCTCGGTGCTCCTTCTGGATCTCAGGCCAGCAGGACAAGGATCCTGCTGTAGGACCTGCCTCTGTGGGACCTGGAGGATCTGCCAGCATGGGGTCCTGAGCCACACGTCCCTGAGGTGTGAGCAGGAGGAGAGGGAGGAGGCCTGGGAGAGCACAGGCTTCCTCCATTTCCTGTGGGTCCCCTGTGGGGATCACCCCTTGGGCTGAGGCAGAACAGGGCTGGAAAGATGGCTATAGTATTGCTAGGCCACCAAGGAAGACCTGCAGGGGGCACTCTGGTTCTCAGGGAAAATGGCCACTTCCTGGAGCACCTGTGCCAGCCCAGCCCATTTACACTGGGAGCAGTGAATAGGAAGAAGTGGAACTCGGATCCAGAGAGCTCTGGAGCTGTTGGCAGGAAGGGTTGGTAGAAAACCAAAGGGGAGGACTCACTGTTTGGAAAGTCATGGGCATCTCCGTGTCTTCTCATGGAGCAGGGCATCTTATAATTACCCCTTGGGCTGATTTGGAACTGGGGACACACACTTGTTTTTTGATGTATTATGACCTTATTGCCTTGAAATGGTCTTGCAGACAGGACCACCACTGAGTGCTACACTGCATGAGGCTGGGCCTGTGGTCCCCTGAGGACTTACCTGGAGCATATAATCGTACAGAGTGTGGTTTTCACTTGTGCCTCAACAACAGCCTCTTGTCTCCTCAATAGCTGTGAGGATCAGGTTCTTCCTCCCTTCTGAGGTCCTCAATAATTCACTGCCCCCATCCCGGAAAGTACAAAGGGATGGGATTGTGTCAGAGCTTACTGGCATAAGGTAGGCTTTATTTTATTTTTTAACAGCCTTGCTGTGTTTTATATGATTATGTATTTTGTACAGCAGCCAAGAGCCCTAGGCATGATTGCCTGCAAATTACAATTAAAAATTACAGTAATGCCTCCCATTACCGTGATTATTATGATTAGTGGTGCTGTGCTTGGTGGGTTTGGGCCAAGGCCCAGGCCTGCCAGGAGGCTGTGAAGCAGGGGTTCCGTCCAGAGACTTGGGCTCTGGGTGGCGGTGAGAACGGGGCCCATGGGGGCCCGGGGATCATGAGGGAACCTTCAGGAAGTCCCCAGGCCCAGCCTGGCTGCAGTTCAGTGCCAAGCGTCTTGGAGAGGAAGTGAAGAGATGGGGTTTCTGAGCTCCGTGCAGAGCCGAGGTGAAGCACACTGAGTCGGATCAGCCTGCGCTCTGCCTGTGGCTTAGTTCTGCTCCTCCATAGCTGTGAATCCCACAGCAGGAGAATGTGGACTAGTCGTGTGCCAGTGCTCTTTGCCACAGGCATGTCACACACCTCGCGGCGACCCTGGCCTCACTCTGGTCTGTGCTGCCGTCCTCTCGGGACAGGGGAATGAAGCATGTGTGCAGAGCGGTCAGCAGAGCACATGCATCCAGGAGCTGTGAGCTGTGCCTCCCGTCCGATGGGCCTCCTTGGCCCTGTGACTCCTCTTCCCATCACTCCTTTGCTCTCGCATCCCTGTCACAGTGTGGCTTCCTTCTTTCTGGGAGACCCGAGTTGGAGTTGGTCCGACGTGGAGCCCTTCCCTGTGCACACCCTCCTCGGGCACTATGAGGAGCAATAGATCAGGAAAGGACTTGCAGGGGCTGTGCTGAGGGACGGTACAGTGGCCTGGTGCCCAGGTCACTGCTGGTGTCAGGAGGTCAGGATGGATTCACAAAGAAAAACCTCCCAGGCCAAGGGAGCCTCGGATGCATCAGCACACCATGGGGCGGCTGCAAGAAACTACATACTCAGCCAGTGCACTGAGATGTGTTTTCTCAGTTGTGTGTGACACAACCCTGCGGCCTGGGAAAGGCCAGCAGTGGTCAGGGGTGTGTGCAGCTGGAGGAATAGCCTCGGGTAGTGTCCAGGAGGAGGGGACTTGGGCGGGTCAGCAGGATGACAGAGGAGAGGTTGACAATGCACAGTGAGGTGACGGGAGGATGGTGAGGGGTTCAGCTCGGTGGCAGTCCGCTCAGGTGTGAGGTTCTGACGGGGATGGAAGAGCTGCAGGCGAGAGGTCAGGCAGGTGTATGTGGTCCTGGCGCAGAGACAGAACTTGCACCCTGAGAGCCCACAGGAAGTGTAGGAAGGGCAGTGTCGGCCCTGTCTCTGTGCCCACCTTGGTGTTGCTGCCCAAACCCCTTGCAGGTGGTCTTCCTGTCCTGCGTGCACACTGCTTTTCATTTGTGTTGTGCTTTCAGCTCTGATCACTTTATACCTCATCTGTAGTTATTCACAGTCTTCCCCACAGGCTGCGGGAGGCCTGGCAGCAAGGTCTACCTCAGGTGCATCTGCTACTCCTCACAGTGTCTAAAAACAGTCCTGCGTGGCTGCCTTACAAATTCACTCAGGCTCACTCAAAGCACAAGAGATTGATTGTCGGAAAGCAAGAGGCGAGCTCTTGGATGTAGGAAATGAAATACAGACGGGCCTCCTGGGAACGGGAGCCAGGGAAGCCATCAGAAACCACAGCTCCCCTCCTCTGCCCAGGTGCTGCTTCCCCTTGTGCCTCTTAGCTTCAACTGTCTACAGAGGGACTCTGGGTCCATTGGCAGGACCGGGTCAGGCGCTCCACCCTGGGATGACAAGCTGGGGGCCCCAGTTGGGGGCATATCTTTCTGCAGCATGTTGGACTGGGCCTTTGGGGATGAGCAGGAGGGCAGGAGATGACCTGTGAGCAGCTATGGTAGGCACCCTGCGAACATTTTCTGAACTCTACAGAGGTCATCCTACTAGCTGCATGCAGGATTGGTGGGAAGGCCAGGAATCTGGGCTCAGGTAGAACTGTTAGGAGACTGTTGTGTAGTCCCAGAATGAAAAGATCAAACGCTAGGAAAAGGAAGTGGGGCTGGGGATAGAAAGAAACGGGTGGGGGAAAATTGAGCAAGGAACAGTAAGAAGGAATGGATTCAAAAAAGAGTCCAGATCTGTCTGCTTTTTTCCCTTCATCCTTCCACCCGTCCTTTGTTTCTTGGGATCAACTTTGGCTCATCACCTAGCAGTGGGCTAAGGTGTGTGTTTCCTGTCAGTACATTCACACACCGCATAATGGTGTTCTGGCCAGCAAAGGGTGGCTCCAGACAGCTGCAGGGCTCCCACCTGGTGGGTGGTGTGGTTTGTGTAAGGCATGCGGTGGTCGTACAGGGAGGCATTTCTCAGAATGTAGCCCCACTGGTAAGTGACATAGGACTGTGCATCATTGGCTTCCAAGGATGGGAAACATTTTAAACAGCCAGATAGAAGTAGGAGACAGAGGATAAATGCTTTAAAGACAGCTACTAAAATCGAAACAGTGTATCCCCCGGCTCCACTGTTGAACCCAGGTGCCACTTTGGGATCTTCAGAGCTAAATGAACCTTCTTTCCTCCTTTAGCCACCATGTTTCTGGAAAACTGGAAAAGACTACAGATGCGGCTGGGCTACTTCTGGGACTTGACTGGCATAGAAGAGGAAGAAGTGAGTTCTCCTGCCTCTTTCCCCGGACCCTTGCTTTGCTTTGACCCTAGAATGGACTGTTGGGGGAGAGATGGGCACTCACATGCACTGGCTCATCACCTGCTCACTGGTTGGGTGACACCACGGGTGCTTTGCAGCTTGGCTCCATGGGCTAAGCCATGGTTGATATGCACTGAGGCCATGAGTTCAAGGCCTCTTCCTTCAAGCTACAAGGCACAGAGCTGGAGGGTGGACAGGTACCCAGTACCCTACCCTAGGTAAAGAGAGCGTGACAGGCAGGAAGTCATCTGGAGAGCATGAGGCATGTGTGCCAGAGCAGGGTATGTCAGAGCGATCTGAGCCCAGGAGGGCCATGGGAGCGTCACAGACAGGACGACTTTGGTGCTTGGTGAAGGAAAAAGAGCCTCAACCACTGTGGTCCAGTCCAGTACATTGTGTACAAATTGGAGGGTGAGCCGAGGGCAAATTGTAGACTCTTCTGGAATTGAGGATTCTGGATAGATGATATTCATTATACGTGAACTAATCAGGCTTTGCTCACAGCTCTTTTGAGGACTAGAGTCCTTGTCTGGAGTTTGGTGAGTTATCAACAGCCAGTGTCAGGGTTATCTGTTCACTGCGGTCTCCCCACCCCAGAGTGCAGCCCCAGTCAGCCCTCCATCCCCTCTTCCTCTTCCTTCAAGCTCACTGCTCCCATGTGCTGACCGTTACAACTTTCAAAAGCTGCTGTTCTTGGACCGGGGATGTAGATCAGTGGTGCTGCGCCTGCCTGGCAAGCGCAAGGGCCCGAGTTTGATCCCCATACACCAGGGTGGTCTGAAGAGTACGTGTGAGTATCAGAGAGGAATTTCTGCTTCTGTGGATTCTAAGGCTGAGGCTGTGGGGACCCTGTGCAGAGCCTGGGAAGCACTGTCATCAAGCTGAGTGCTCACCTGCCATGGCTGCCACCAGCACGAGGGTGGCTGTGGGGACAGGGACCGCCCCTCACTTGCCTGTGGTCACTGACATGCTTCTCCTTGGAGCGGGGCCTTGGGCTTTGTGGCTTTGATGTTTTGTGCACAAGTAATTGAAATTCCTTCTTTTTCAAGCCTAGCATCTTATCATTTCTTCTCTTTAATGCTCTGATCGCTCAGCTGGTCTTCAAACAGATGAGGTGGGAAATGGCAGGAGTTGTATGGCATGGAGTGGAATCTCCCCATCGGGAGACCATGCTGACAGAGGTTCTGAGAGGAGAGGCAGAGCGATAGGGCTTTCCCCACAGCAGTGGCTTGTCAGTGGGCTGTGCTCTGTCCTGCCCCAGCCATCACCAGTTTTGAGTGCTGTAGTCCTGTATGTGAAGCACAGACCGGAGACTAATGCCGTCATGCTTTTGGTGCCAAGTGCGATAATGTATATGTGGATTCTGCATTTGTAGAATACAGAGCAAGGACCATAGGGATAATAAAGGCAATTGTATTTCTTGTAGGTGAATATATATGTTTTTATAGAGAGAATATGTATGTACACACATATCTACATCTGGGCGGGATGGGGGAGAGAGAGAGGAAGAAGAGGGAGAGGAGAGAGAGAGAGGAGCGAGTACAAACATGGTTGTGGAGTTTGGGTGGGAGCACTTCTTATGCTCTTGATGTCTTAATGCCAGAGGCTAAGGTGTCTCCAAAGAAGAAGAGAAACCCTGATGTTTAAATCCATATGGGCTGGAGCCAAGCTAAGTGTGTCTGCTCAGTACAGCGGAGGAAGCCAGCACATCTCTCTGTGAGGGAGGAAGTGTAAACACACACAGAGCAGCACCGGTCATGACCGACGCCCTTGGCATCTCTGCAACAGGCCCCTGGCAGGAGTGCTGTTGCAGCCCATTCTCCTTTCTGTGGTCAGGTTTCCTGTTTTTCTGTTTAACCCAGTGAGTTGTGGTAAATGCCTGGCAGGTACGTGATTGAGGAATTGTGTGCCGGTGGAGGCTGTGCTGGCCATGCCAGGGTCATAAGCGAATGCTTCCGGATGGGCTCTGTGTGAGGCTGCCGTGAAGCTGGATGGCTCTGTAACAGGCAGGGTGGGGCGCCCCCCCCCACAGCCCAGGCCTAGCACGGGCGAGAGGAAAGGAGCCCAGCCCATCTTCTCCTTAATGCATTTCTATTTTGTGCGAGAATATCAAGCACTATTTGAGATTCATTTCGGTTTTGAACATATGCACTGAGCACCTGCTCTGTAGCAGGTTTCCATGTGCAGTGCTGAACTGCCTCAGCACAGCTCTGATCTCCAGCAGGGTGCTGTCTGCTCTCAAATATCTAGAATGGGTGGAGCAGAGGTGAGAGGTTCCTTCTGGTCAGGGCAGGGAGTGGAAAGTCTTTTTCTGAAGAAATGAGGGTTTAATGGGCAGCCAAGGGAGGAAGGGGCACCCACAAGGAGGAAGTAGCAAGCACAGAGGCCTTGATCTGGAAAGCCTGGGAATATCAATCAGAAACAGCAAGATGCCCAGTAAGTCCTGCAGTTGCAAGAGACAGGGGCAGGATCAGTAGGGACAGGGAACAAGTTTCGTCTGCGGCAAGGTCGGGCAGTGGCTGCACATCGTGTGTCTCCTGTAGCTGCGGAAGGCATGGAGGGCAGGCTGGGCAAGATTCAGTGTGTGGGACTTGAACAGGACCCAGGGTGTCTCAGGAAGTACTCAACTGTGTGTTGAAGAAGGCTCAGCTTACATTCAAATATGGGGTACAAGGGAGGCAGATATTACTGGGGAGAGGGAGGCGGGTGTCCTGGAAGGCCACAATTAGTGGCATTTTCCATTTTAATGGGGCACCTGCTTCAGGATCAGGGATCTGCCCACGTCTAGCTGCCTGTAACCCTAAGACACCAGGAAGAAGGTGCTACTGCACACGTAGACTAAAGCCCACTGCCCTTCTCTCCCTCCCAGCTTCAGTGTCCCCAGTGTATAGCTCCCCCAGGAGTGGAACAGTGGGGTGGTTCACATCCAGCTTGTAACCGGGGGATGGGGACAGAAAAGACATGGTGTTCAGGGAGGAGGTGAGTAGTCAGAGCCCAGAGCCAACCCACTGGGCTAGTGTGGCCTGGGGTGGGTGTCCAAGGACATTCTTGGACTCCACATACCCACACATTGGGCCTCTCTGTCCAGTTAGCTTCTGTCATGTCCAGCCCAGGTGTCCCTGGACCTTTGAACCTGGCACATCAAGCCTCAGATATCCTCAACAGCAAATAGCCCTGGCCCTGGCCCTGTCATCATCCTCCTTGCTGAGGCCTTCAGGGCACACAGACCTCCATACTATCCCAATTTATTCTAGGCTTTGCACTGTCTGTTCTGCTGCCTGAGTACTTTTCCTGCATCTCCATGTAGCTGTCCTTTGTTGGCTTTTCTTTCTCAGTGAAATTCACCCTCCTCTAACCCCCAGTCTGCTCTGTTTCTTCTGTTGTTCTTATCCTCATGTGCTGGCTCCTCGTGTGTGTGTGTGTGTGTGTGTGTGTGTGTGTGCTGGCTGACTTCCTGTCACCTTTCTCCTCTTCCGTAGGGGAAGGGACATGCTGTAGGAGCAGTGCTGCAGCCTCAGTGCCTACAAGAGAGCTCAGTGCATAGTAGGTGCTTGCTAACTCCTTGCTGAAGGTATTTGTTGGGTGAATCTCTGGCTCGACCTCTTTAGATCAGGCTGGTTCCCAGCTGGCCTGGGGTCTTCCTCCTGAGGACACTTCCGGACAGAAGTATTTGGAATAATTTGGTATCAGCTCGCCCATCCAGAGAGGCTGTGTTTGGAGAGTATCAGGTTGAGGTGCTCAGGGTTGGGTATGTTGGAGCAGCTCTCTTGGGATTAGATTCTGCTGTGGCCAGGAGCTTCTTTCTCCTGCCTTAAAAAAAATTGAAACAGGGTCTTGCTAAATTGTTAAATTGTCCAGGTTGAGCTCAAAGTTGCAATCCTCCTGCTTTGGCTTCCCAGAGTCCTGAGGTTAGCAAGCTTGCATTAGCGAACCTCACCAGATCTGCACCCTAGTTGTATTTTGAGTTCCTGACTCCTGTTCGTGTGCCCAGAGGCTGGCTTGTTCCAACAGTCATCTGAACTGAGGCCCTGTGTGGGGGAAGGTGGGCCACAGCCATATCTAAGGGATACAAGGAAATGCCAGCATGCCAGTGTGTGACATGCTGCAGCATGTCAGAGACAGTCAGAAAAAGCCTGCCAGGCAGGAGGGTCTTCCCCAGCTCCTCTGCAGGATATGAGAGGAGAGAAGATCCTTGGGTTTGAAGAGATTTGGAGCCTATATTGTAAGGCCAGAAGATGCTGCTGCTGTTTTTCATTAAAATCTTCAATTGGAACAATGCAGAAAAATGTAATCAAATTTCAGGGGCCATGGAGGAAAACTCCAAACTACATTTTTCAGAGTATTCCTGCAGAATGTTCATTGCTATAGGCAAAAGCTGTTCTGTGGGAGATGGGGGGCTTATGGAGATTAAGCAGGTGTCTTTACAGTAGTGCTTTCCAGAGAGTTTAATATGTTCACTGTGGCTCCCAGAAAGGTGATGTGTTGAGTGGCATTTTCTAATCTTTTACAACCTGGGATCCTTTTTTAAAAGATAAACCTGTCTTGGAACACACACACCTTGGGAAATGCTGGGCTGCAGCATGGATTAAGGTGAGAGACAAAATCCAGTGAACGTCAACAGCGTTTAGACTTCTGTGTCTTCTTCATGGTGCCAGTTATGGTGAGAAACAGAATAATGCAGAGCAGGGGGCAGATCCTTCTGTTAGGAGAAGAGGTTCTTGAGCAAAACAGCTAGGAAATCAGAGAAAACTGTGTAATCAAGGGCAGTCGTTGTGGTGTAAGCTTAAGCCTTGAATGATTCAGAGAGGAGGAGCCCCAGCCGGGAAGTATGATGGACTGACAGAGAAGACGCCTGGAAGAGGAGGGACTGACATGCCACCAAGCCCTTAGTAACAGCGACAGTGCGGGCCTTAGTAAGCACCCATGTCACCTGCTGTGGTGTCTTAGGCTTGTTAGTCACTTCTGGGGTCTCTCCAACAGCATGGCTTGTTTTGGGAAAGACAGAGACAGGGCAGGAGCCTGGTGGTGGAACCTCTGGTACATGGGCTGTGTTAAGGAATGTGCATTCTCTAAGCTGCAGAACCCGAATTTGAATCCTTGCCTTGGTGAGGTCAGAAACTGACACAGAGATACGCGCCCCTCACAGCTGTAGACTTCTGTCCTGGAGCTGGGAGTTGTAGGAGCGTTAGCCTGGGGTGTGTTAGGTTCCTGGCATCTGCACTGACTCCATGACTATGGTCCTCTCAATCAGTTAGGTGCTCTTTTCCAAGCCTGGAGACTCACAGGTCAGGTCTGTAGGGCAGAATGCCCCAGGGACGTCTCCTTCCTGCGCATAGGCATATTTGCCAGTGAATTACTCACCTATGCCCTGCTGGAAACAGGTTCAAGCCCAGGAGTTTTAAGATTCCCCATGGCCACTGTTGACTTTGATGTTTATTGGTTGCCATTTTAGCTTGCAAAGCAGTGGAGCAGGGAAGTGTTGCTGTTGCCCTAACTCCCTGCTGTGGGGCACATCTGTTTCTTCAGCTGGAAAATGAGTTGAGATCTAAGGCCTGCTGGTGGGATGGCTGGGTCTGTGACTCTGCCTCTGTCACACTGTCCTGCAAGAGTGCATGGCCTCTCTTGTATCCGCTGCCCAGTTAACACCTCCTCTCTCCTTTCTCAATACCGGTGCCACCCCCAGGAGCATGCCCAGGTTTGGCTTTCAGTGTGATGACACGTGTAGTTTGTCCCCTCTCTCCTTTATATTGTGTTCTTGGTCTGGACTCCTTGTGACCTTGTGTGTCCTGTCTGATAGCGTCCAGTCCTGGCCCCAACTTCAATGTGTTTGTGGTGTCTGGTTATAATCTGAAGGTCCAGGTCACTCTTCTTCCTGCTTACAAACTGCTCTCTGACGCTTTGGTTTAGGAGCACTCACGGCCTGAATATGAAACCCGAGTTCGAGTGAAAATGTTAAAGGAGAGCGACAAGTCGGTGGTCCAGAAATTGGAAACAAATGCGACTGAAAGTGATGGTGAGGTAAGATGCTTTGCGGGCCGCTCATTTTGTGTGAAGGGGACCTCAATGAAGGGTGACAGGGCCCTGGGGGACAAGGTGGAATGAGGGTGGCATCTCCTGTGTCCTGAGCCAGAGCTTCTGAGGACAGCTGTCACTGTGACTCTAGTGCTCCCTTTCTGGGTGCTGCTGTCTGGGCAGAGTCGGAGGGCAGAGTGGAGAAGAAAGATGCAGCCTCGGGCCCAGGTCCTCTGGCTGCTGCACTCTAAGTAGCAGGCAACACTAACACCGCCATGGGAGCCCCAGAGAGCTGCAAACCCTCACCGGGCATCTGCTCTCTGCTGGCCCCTGTGCTAAGTGTATATACAGCGTCATCTCATTTGATTCTCATAGTAAATCCAGTAAATAGCTGGTGCTGTTGTTGTATCAGTGGAAAATCACAAAAGCAGTCACGCCTGCAGATGAAATCACTTTCCAGAGGTCACACAGCCACTAAAGGGAAGATGGATCTGGGATTCAAAACGAGGCCTAACCATCAAGCCAGTCTGCGCCCCAGTGCAGTGGGGAAGTAAAAGAATCAGGCAAAAGGTACCTCTGAGAACCAGCAGAGGAGAGTCCATGTCTGTATTTGCTTGAGCCACTCACATAGTGTTATTCACGTTTTGTTTTCCTGGGTGGGCTCTGAAAGTAGGAACGCAATGGTGAGATAGCCTGGGTCCTATATCTGAGCTTCAGGTTTTGATGTGATCTGTGAATAGTCAACGTGTGTGTGCACATGTGTGTGTGTGTGTGTGTGTGTGTCTTTGTGTGTGTGCATGGGGTTCCTCTTTGGCAGTACTGGTCTCTGAGTGTCACCTTTGTTTTTTTTTTAATTGAGTTTATTGGTACATTTTAGGTATACGGTGCAGTTACATTCATTATTGGGATCTTGTACCTTCACATGACAAGTCTTGGTTCTCATTTTTTCCCCTTGTCCCTGTCCTCCCTTCACCTGTGTCACCTTTCTTTGAAATCAAACAGGTGTGTGTTTATGACTTTCCTAAATCTCATTTCTGAAAAAAAATCAGCAAGATTAAAAATCTGTTATTTTTGCACTTTTCTTTTCTTCACCCTGGATTTGAATTCAAATTTCATTTTGTTTCACATTCTTTAAGTTGGAACCATTCATGTTAACATGCAAATTTATGCAAACACCAAAACATCAGAATGTGGTGTTTTGGAGCCCAGAATACTACCGTTTTTTCTTTTAAGAAAACAAAACTTGAACAGAAGAGAGGATGGCCTCTGAGTTATTTTATTTTTCTCTTAGATGTCGAGCAACTCCAGGACCACCAGTGGTTTAGGGAAGCAACAGGTTCATGCCTGGGAAAGAGTAATTTCGGTGGTGCTCTCATCAGGAGGGAGTGTTGTGTGTTCTGTCAGTTCGGGCAACTTCATGCAGCCTTCTTTCTCCAGTCCTAGCAATGAACAGTGGAAATCACATGTAACTTTTATTGACCACTGACTCATTTAATTTTAATTCTGCAGACGGGAATGTCAAGGAGCTGGAACTGAGCACATCGGGGCTGTGGTTCTAATATAAACATTTCTTGGCTATATATGCATGAAGGTCAGATAACTTTCAGGAACCATGAATAATTAAAAAACATCTGAATGCATTATGAATGATACATATATTTATGTTTTAGTGCTCAACATCTATTTTCATTGTACAGTTGAGAATGTGAGGCTCAAAGCATTAATGCCTCCTGGGCACCTGGAGGAAATGACCCTCCCAACGGATAGCGTAAGATTAAATGAACTGGAGCATAGTTGTCAGATTCCTCCTGTGTCCTTTGGTTCTGTGAGCTCTGTCAGTGCTTCTGTTCTTCCCAAGTCTGTTCACTGATGGGAGTCATTGTGATGCCCCCATTGCTGAAGAATAGAGTTGCTGAAAAAAAAAAAAAAGAATAGAGTTGCTGGATGTGTTATTTTTAAAAATTTGAAGAACTGTCAGACTGTCTTCCAAAGTGACTGCCTTATTTCCCATTGCACTCAACAGTGTATAAGGATTCTTATATCCCCACATCTTCACTAGCCTTCTTACCTCTCCTTTTAATTTTATTCATCCTAAGCAGGGGAAATGATATTTCATTGCGGTGTTAATTTACGTTTCCTTAATGACTAATGTGTTGAACACCTTTTCACATGCTTACTGGCCATTTGTATGTCTTCTTTGGGAAAATGTCTATCTAAATCCTTTGCCAATTTAAAAAATTATGTTAATTGGCTCTTTTTATCACAAGTAATTACTATATTTTTATATATTCTGGATACTAGCCCTTTATCATATAATATAATCTACAAGTATTTTCTCTAATCCTGCAGTTTGTACCTTCTTGACGATATCCCCTAATGCACAAAAGTTCTAAATTTTGAAATAGTTCTGTATATCTGTTTTTCTGTTTGACACTTGCGCTGCATCACATGTAAGACATTATTGACTAACCCAGCGAGATTCAGATGTGCTCTTAGGTTTTCTGCCAAGAATTTTATAGTGTTACCTCTGACAGGCCTGTGATCCACTTTGGATTGATTTTTGTGTATGATTTAGGGAAAAGTCAAAATTATTATTAGTTTTTTGCATGTGAATATTCAGTTGTCCTAGCATTATTTGTTGAATAGATTGTTTTCCCCATGAAATTATCTTGATGCCCCATAAAAAAAATCACCTGCCTATAAATGTGAGAGTTTATTTTTATCCAGTACCTTACCACCTACACACACCACACAGTATTTATGTAGTGAATTTTGAAATTGGGAAATGTGAGTCCTCTGACTTTGTACTTCTTTTCAAAATTGTTCTGTCAGAATTGTGGATGGATTGCATTTCTACATGAATTTCCTAGCCGGATTTTAAAGTTCTGAAAAAAAAGGAGAAAAAACCAGGATCTTCATCAAGATTGAGCTGAATCTGTAGATTTGTTTGACAGATGTCTTAGCAGTAATGAGTCTTCTACTCTCTTGACCTGTGGTGTCTTCCCGGTTATTTAGAACTTTATTTCATTTAATTGTCTTCAGTTTTATAAAACTTTCTGATAATAATTTTATTCTTTTTGATACTATTGCAAATGTAATTGTTTTCAAAATTTTATTTTTGGATTGTTCATTGGTAGTATATATAAATAAATTTGATTTTTGTATATTGGTCCTTATTCCATGAGTTTTTAAACTATTGTATGAGCTCTAATAGTTTTAGCAGAGTTCTTAAGATTTTCTATTTACAAGGTCATGTCACCTGTGAACAGAGACAGTTTACTTCTTTTCCAATACTTCTTGGAAAGTATTTTATTTCCTTCTCAGTGTCTGTCTCCTAATCCCTCTGACTAGATCTCCTGTATATTACTGAATAGAAATGGTGAGAGTGGACGTCTTTATTTTTGCACAAAATTTAAAATTTCAGAATAGTTCTGTTTATCTATTTATCTTTTTATCACTTGTGCTTTTGTGTAATGTCTTAGAGATTATTACCTAGCCTAATGTTATTCAGATATGCTCTTTGGAGAAAAAAAATGTAGTCTTTTACAAGTAAGTATGTTAGCAGCGGCCATTTCCTTAAAAAAAAAAATCTTTCTATAAGGTTTCCCTGATCAAAACATGTTATTACTAAGACCACCACAATTCTGATCTGAAATAAAATGAGGTGACAGTGATATGTTCACCTTGGGGAAGTACAATGTGAAAGGTTCACAGATTGGCAGACAGGGAGCCAGAACCCTGGGATAGAAATCATGTCTCATTTACCAGGTAGCCAGGCTCTTTTCTGGGTCTTTCTGTCACATAGGAAGACTGGATTTTGGATTTTATAGGCTGAGTGCCAGGCCGAGCCTGAAGATGGCCCTCCGTCTCCTCCCTGCTCCCTTTCTCCTCCACAGGTTAGACTGTGTGGCTCATACTGTAGATCCTGGAAGGCACAGCCCCGGAGACAGGTACATTGGATCCCTCCCCGTTCCCTTCCTGCGCATGCCCCATCACGAAACAAGCACGCTAAGTTCTGCCTAGGCCACGAAGGCCACGAAGGCCACGTACACTACCTGCCCCACCTTCTCTTCCTGCCTGCCTTCCACTATGAATAAAGAGCTCGCAGTACCACAGGTGGCCCTCAGCTCCTGACAGGCTGTGGTCCCACCTGGCCCCAATTTTCAAGAATAGTTTTTATTTTTTCATTTTTTCTTCATCTCCCACCACTCTCCCTACTTTGGACACGGTGTGTGTCGCAGCATCTGAGAGTTGTTGCCAACAGTTGATCTTCTTTGCTTATATGCAGAGATGATGTTGGTCATCAGTGCTATACTTTGGGTGTTGGTTTGTCACTTACATGTCTTATACAGCATTAATTTATCTATTCTTAAGCCAATTCTTTTTGACTTTCAAGAGTGTGGTTATAGAAGACCATTGATGATAACATAAGTAACGTTTATGGAGTACTCAATATGTAAAAGGCTTCACAGGTGTTATTTAACCCTCAAAGCCACTTTGATCCCCAGATCTCACACAAGACAGCTGAGGTTTAAAGACAGAACTCAGTTACTAATCAAATACGTGGTAGAATCAGCCTGAATGTGAGCCAGACAGATCTGACTCAAAAGCAGTGCTTTTAACCCTGAGCTCCTGAGTCTCTCCAGTGTTTCCTTAAGCAGATTCTCACCCACCCTAAAAAGTCATGTGTAGACAGTGGTATTTGCTGGAAAGATGAGTAAGAGACAAACTTGCTGCCTGACACGAGCAGTTCTGTGTAAATTTTGTTGGAGTAATGTTCGAATTCCCTTGAGTACAACAGTGGGTGGAATTAGCTTAGTTTACAGCAAGAGGGTCAACAGACAGTGAGGGGAAACCAGGAATATAAACACAGATACATATGGTGCTTCTAGGAAGAATACGGAGCCTGAAACTTTTAAAAAGAATAGGCTGGAGATTTTTCCCCCTTGGTTCAGATGGAATCTTTCCTGGAAAAGTCTCTCCTGGGTAGATTTGGAACTGTTCCA